CTCTCGAGCTTGGCAATTCTTCCACTCAGTTTTTCCAGATTTGTTAATATGAGCTTTAATGGATCATGCTCATTTATCGATTCAGGATCATGTTGTTCCCTGCTTTGGCCTTCTGATGAGTTTTTGATGTTTTTGAGAGGTTTTCTATTAGTTTCTGTTGCTGAATGGTTCAAGAATCTAGGGTATCTTTGTTGACCATTGTTGTTTTGACCCTGATACCTTTTTCTTTAATTATTTGTTCATCTCTGTTCTGTGATTGTGGTTGAGCTTATTAATTCATTATATGATGGTAAATCTGTCATTGGCTCTATATCTGTTTCTACCCTTGTATGTTCTGTTCTATTTTTAAACCTTCTGGTTTTAGGTTTGAGACTCTTTATGGGTTCTTCTAATAGAGCTTTTACACTCCAGGATAGTCTCAAACCTTGTAGAAAAATATGTTACCTATAGGCTCTTATCATGGCTTCTTTTATTGTAAAGTATACCATTGTGAAGTTCTGTTTTTTCAACGTGTGAGGGTTTTTTGGTACATAATAGGCCTTAGCTTCTGTATCAATAAGGGCTCTAGCTATCAAACTTGAAAATATTCTGTTTGTGTCAAGAAGTCTGGCTGAATACTTGTTTCATTTAATTAGAACTTTATTTATTTCTCAGTTTGTTAGCTCTTCTTTAGTGAAGATTACCCTTGTTGTTTCTATTCCAAGTGGATTCCATATTCAAATTTCGAAGTTTATGAAATTATAGGTGAAGGTGGCTATGGAAAAGTTTTTTCAGCAAAATGGACCGAAGGATATATCCTTTTTTGGAATGCAAAGGCTTGTCAATGGAAAAGAAAAGGTGTTACAAAGGTTGTGCTAAAGTGTCTTAACGATTCTAAAGATATCACTAGTGAGCTCTTAAATGAGGTGATTGTAATTCTCGAATAATTTTGTAGTTTCTTAAATGGACATTAAATTTATATATTTATAGATAAAAGGCAACCTTGACTGTGCAGAATATTATTCACGTGTCGTTAGATGCTACGGGATTACACAACATGAAGAAACTAAGAATTTCATGATGTCGATGCAATTAATGGAACAAGATAGCCTTGCAAAGAACTTAGCAGAATTCCAAAAGATGTCATGGAAAGACAAATTAATCAGTTTAAAACGAATGGCTGAAGGTTTATATCAGATGCATAAAGCCAAATTAGTTCACCGTGATTTTCATAGCGGAAATATTCTTTTATCTGATATTACAAAAAGAATATTTTATATTGCCGATTTGGGCCTATACAAACCAGCCACTGAATATGGTAATAGCGAAGATAACGGAAAAGTACATGGTGTACTTCCATATGTAGCACCGGAAGTTTTATGTGGTGAAGAGTATACAGAGGCAGCTGATATTTATGCATTTGGGATTATTATGTCCGAAGTGATTTCTGGTATTCCTCCTTTTAACAATATTCCGCACGATCACAATCTTGCAAATGAAATTTGCCTTGGTAAACGACCTAGAATCCCAAGAAACACTCCTAAATTAATAGTCGAATTGATGCGAAAATGTTTGGATGCCGATTTCCATGAACGCTTAAGTTCTTATGAACTGCGCGGTATTTTAAGAGCATGGTGTGATTATGAGGAATACGAAAATTCGGAACTCTATAAGCAAATCAATGAAAACACGACACTATATAATAATGTGACTCTTGAAAAGCATCCGTCAGCTATTTATACTAGTCAACTTCTTAAATTTAAAGATCTTTCGCAACTCATGAATTCTGATATTGAATATTTTTGATTATTTATAACTATGCATGGAAATAGTCTGTGATTTTTAATTGTATTTCATTATTTACTACGAATTTTTTATTATTATATATATTGGAAAGCGCGTACCTTTTATTGATTTTGGTTTTATACAATAAATAGGTAAATATTCGGATCTATTATTTCTTGTATGATAAATTTTTTGCAACCTTTATTTTTGCATTTTGTTAAAATTACACGCATAAAAAAAAAAAAGCAAAGCAAATAATAAAATGTACTAATTAAATAAATAGAAAAAATATAAAGTAAAATAATAGAAAGCAAATACAATGCTTGCGTTTTATTTTTGAGTGGGCCTCCATGTATTAGATAGATTACGGCAACTCTCGATAAAAGAAACTTTACAAATAGTCTATATTAGTTGATGGTCAATGCGTTAATTGAAAATACGGTCAACTCTCGATACGTAAAAGAAATAGTCTATATTAGTTAATGATCGATCATCAAAAATTTTCCGGGTCTGGGTTTACTCGATAAAAGAAAATTTGATACACGGGGATTTAGAAAAATCTGAAGCTTTATTTAAACATATAAAGTTGTTACATTTATTCTATTAATTATATTGCCTTTTGCTTGTTAATTAAAGTTAAACTTCACAATGAAATATATATACTATAAAATTTCATTGTATTATGTTAGACTTTTATTATTAACAATTAAGCTTTACATTCATACGAAATTTTTTTTAATTTTTGAGTTTAATCATAATATATTACATATTATTAAAACCAATGTTTTAATATATAATATGCTATTAAGTAATCTTGTATAATATGTCATTATTTACATATATGTTAAATTTTATTAATGTCTATCAAATACTTAAAAATCTACTCACCCTTACATCAGTGGCGCAGTAAACACATCCACCAAACCCCGAAAACAAACTAGAAAAAACGAATACGCAAAGGCTGCTTCGCAGCCAAAATGCAACCACCTACCCAAACTACAACAAAGAAGTTCTGGCAAGGGGCCAGGCTGGTCCCAGAGCCACAACTAAACATACAAAGGTAGAAAAGAAGCATAGCAGCGTGGAGAAAACCGCAAGTCTGGTGGAAGAAAACCTGGTGGAAATGGAACACACCACTCCCCAAATGCAGCAACTTCAGGCCCACGGCTCCCAAGTCAATATAGGAACAAACAACTCAGCCCCTCCTCTTAAAGCGATAGCATTGAAGAGGAGACCGCCTCGGCGAACAGCGAAACAGGCACAGCCGAAACTCACGAAATGGAGACGAAACTGTGAGCTTACCCCAACACTCCATGAATGACCACGGACTTGATGGACTTGGAAATAGAGATGAGGCTAGAAGAAGAAAACGAAACCAGCCGAGAGGAAGGAGCTCGAAATGACAATGAACAGCATGAAGACTGGACCCTTCTAACAGGCAAAGGGAAAAGCAAAGAAAGAGTAGAACCACATCCCAAAGACAACAAACCCCACCCGGATCCCACATCAATAGAAGCACAAAATATGGGCGCGAAAGGACGAAACTAGGCATACAGGACAGAAAAGTCCCCAGCAAACTCATATATCACAAGATAGTATACATATCTAAGGCTCTGAACTCATCTGAAGACCTAATAAGTATTCGCAATGAGAAATCAGAGTTTATCACTGCCCTTTTCAGTGACCCACAATCAACTGAGGATACCAGCAACATATACTTATCGCAAATGAATAATATAACACTCAAACATATGCCAGATACGAGAAAAAAAACCAATAAGGCTAATAGTGTCACAGTTTGAGACATCCCTCTAGACACAGCCTTCCACAACATACAACAGATTTTTGCAAAATATGATCATATCAGCAACATCTCAATTTCAACACAATGCATATGACAATTAGCTACCATCATGTATACAAAAAATGCTGAAAGTGCAAGCTTCTGGAAAATTGGAGCATCCAGTGCAAAGTAGACTCCCTCAGGATTTTTGACTCATAATGGGCCTTACAGCAAATAAAAGATGGTGGTTGTTTCTCTTTAAAACTCATTAACCTACCACCAGATACTAATGTCTTTGATATAAGACACCTATGCCAACAAAAAAGAAGTAAACCATGTTATATCCCCCAAAGAATGAACTATAAATGCAAATTCTTCGCAGTAATCAGCTTTGAAAATGAACAAGATATACAGCAAGCAACTGTAACAAACTTTACTCTTGGAGAACCAATTTTCAAATGGCAGCCAATAGACACTAAACTATGTACTATTTCTAATTTCACCTCACACCTAGCAAAAGACTGTTACATTAAAGAAAGAAGGCAACAATAGTGAAACTACAAACAAGAACAAGCCAAGAAATTCAGACAGCCATATACACATTTTAGATTCATCAAAACCACAAGCATCATAAGATTAGTGGAAAAAAAAATACACAGAGCTTACATGCCCAGGCTCTTATATAGCAGCAGCCAGACCCAAAGCAAAATTAGACTCAATATCAAATGGAATAGAAGAAACACTTCATCAAATCCTATACAACATATAAGAAATCAAAGAAGAAATTAACAATATCAAAGAAGAATAACAGAATTAGATAAAAAAAATTATGAACTCAAGAATTGAGATGAAAACTATAACTTCAACAGAGAAGAATAATCACAAAAAAATCAGGAAACTAATAACCAATATCAGATAGATAGCTCAATGCACAATATTCAACAACAACAACATCAACTATAAATATTGATTAATAACATTAATTAAATAATGACTGCTCTAGTTAATACTATATCGGATCTTATTTTAAACAATAAAGAAAGTACAACACACAATAACCAACAATTACAAATATAGAAAATTACAATAGTAACAACAACAATTACAACAAATCTATAGCAAATAACAATAATGATTCAGAAACTCAAAATATAGGCCTAAAGGACAATCAAGTCCACACTCTTCTCAAGAAATGCATATTAAAACTGCAAACAATAATAGCAATACCACTAATAGAATATACAATATGATACATAATATCAAGAACAATTATACTAAACATAAACCCATCTGAAAATTTATAACTTTCAATATACAATATATATCAGAACTATACAAAAGAGACACCTGATTCAACTTCTGCATAGAAATGGCCTGGAATATTAAAATCACCACAAAAACTAATAGATTATATTACTTTTTGAAGCATTAATGACATGCGAAATATCAGATTATCTGGATATAAAAAGAATTACAGATGATAGATCAAGGCCTCAATATAATAATAAACAAAGACATTATGCATGGAATATATAAATATAAACTATTAGTAGGTATACTTATTACTATAGACCTGGTTTTTCTATATAAAGAGAAAATAAGGATTATAAATATCTACTTTTCTGTACAGGATATTAATAGAAAAAAAACCACTATAACAAATACTCTCAACAAATAGATAATAGAAGCAACTGCTAATGATTGGCATCTTATTGTAATAGATGACTTGAATAGAGTGTTCAATCCAATTGTAAACATATACAGTATGTATCCAATAAGAAAACTAGATGTTATACTTCCTCGAATAAATAAATCTTGACACTGATTAACAATGAACTAAAAAATATATCAGCATACACAACTCCTTGACCAAAGAGTGCACCTGAAACAAAAAAATCAGAAGTAGCAAAATCAATTAAATATGGATCAATTCCCTTGTAACTTGGCGATCAAGAAAAATCTCAATCAAAAACTGCATCACTTTCTTAATTTAAAGTGATCACATATCCATAGTAACTAAAATGGTAGTCTGGAGCCTAAACAAACTCAAGCAAGTATCAATTTACAAACCAAATTATAGATATAATTGGCAAGTGAGTATATCACAACAATAAAAAGACTTTAGTAAACAGATAGAACAAGAGATACAAAAAAAAATAAAAATAGTCATTGATCAGAGATGAAACAACTTCAGCAACATTGTCTAGAAAGTAGTAAAACAACATATCTGGAAGAATAAAGTATATTACAGGAACAGACAACAATTGCATTACATAGAAATAAAACATCTCATTATTTAACTCTAGTATTTCTTCCTATAATTCAAAGAGGAAAATAAAAAATTAATCAAGAGCAAGATACTATATGCTTTCACTATTTCCCAAATATTCAAGAAAGATTTTTCAATGTGATAATATCTTTATCTTTAAATAATCACAAAGCTATATACCTATTACATTTATCAAAAAATGGATTCAAATAGTACATAACAACATAAAAACTCACAAAACAGTGGCCAAAGCTATTATTCACAATAGACAAAACATGCTATTAAGAAAAAAATTCAAATTAGACAAGAATACTTTGATAATAACAAGAGATCAATGATAAATAGCATTATAAAAAGATCCAAAAGGTGTATACACATAGATAGACTAATCATATGACAAGAAGACTTAGTGCAAATAGTTATTTATAGATCCTGAGAAGATTAAACAAAGAACAAAAGAATATTTCTACAATTGAACCATACTCAAAAACACTTAAAACCTAGAAAAGCATTCTTATTGATAAAAATAATATAAATCAAAGCCTACATCATACAGTATAAATATAAAAACCTCATTACGCAAAAATTGCTGAAAAGAATTCAACAACACAGCTCAAAGTCTGCACTAGGTCTAAACCAGATCCTATATATTGTCTACAAATACATAAAAAAGATCAAAGGAAAATTACAATAAATTTTCAATATTATTATCATGCAAGAAAAAAAAACTCTTTCCCACTCACATCAAATTCTTAAAAATTTCCTTTTATGGTAACAAACCAAAATATTGAAGAAAAAACATAATGCTCACAAAGAGCTTCCATAACAAACATGTCAAGAAGATCGACCAGGACAAAAGACCTAACAGTTAACTACACAGGGGAAAGAATCCTAACAGGTAGTGGCAAAATCACCAAACTGTTACTGAAATCCAAACTTGAAAACAAGTTCAACCCCCTCACCAGCACAAAAAAGAACCAGGCACCAACAGAAATGAAGAGAAAATCAGAAGTGGTAGAGAACAGCCAAGTCGATACCAAGAACCAGGAAAATATGAAACTTGAGAATAAAGAACATGACAATAGGACTAATACTGAAAAAGACATCACAGAGCTCTCAGAACCATTAGAGGAAACAACCATGGATACCAGACCAATCTCACCCATAACAGTAACCTCAACAACTTCTGCAACAGGAAAGGGTAAAGAGAACCTGAAGAACCATAGCAACATTACCAACAACAACTTCAGCTGCGACAGAAATTCGGTACCAACAACTGCAGAAATGGAACAAAGAAACTTTTAGGAAGAACATGACATACTTCATCCAGGCAAGGCATTTATCAATCCAGAAGAAGTGCTTGGCTCCTCAACTGAGAAAAAATTAACTACATCTGCAATAAGTTGAGGCACCTAGCATCCCTAAGACATGTATGCACAGAGTCACCAAACAGTATATCAATAATTGCAGCCATCTTTAGTAATTACTATGAGGCCATAATGCATGTGAATCAAAGATCACCAGCAATGAAAAAGCCAAATATAGGCTTGCACCACAGATAGACATATAGGAAAGCAAAGCCTGATCTATCAGGATCTGGGACATCTCCATATAGTACACAAAGAAAGAAATCACCAGCTTATTTGAAGACTGTCAGTAATCGAACATATCATACTACAACAAGTAGGGGCCATTTAATCTGGAATAGTACAATTTTGCACAAAAGAAGCTTTTGAAAAATATAGCAAGATATGGACCTTCTATAAGAATACCTTCTGCATGTATATATACCCCACAGTCAGAACCCACATTATCAAAGAAAAGAGGAACCAGTACAGTACTACCCTTGCTAATCTACCACAGGGGACCACAGCAAGAGACATACAAACAATCATCGATCAGACATATGCTCAAGCTTGCTATCTCCCTCTCAAACACCTTAATCAGAACAAAAGATTCGCTATCTTATACTACAGGAATACCCAAGAACTAGATGAAGCAAAAAACTTCACACCCCAACTGGGAGACACAGTACTTAAATGAATAACAAAAACAATGAAACTCTGTTTCAGATATGGAGCCCAAGAGCATGATATCGGCACCTGCATCATAGAGAAAAAGGACTTAGTAAGGAAAGAAAGAATCAATAGACTAGATCAGCTACGACTCACGTCTCAACAACAAAGAGGATCCTTTGTAACAAGACAAGGTAGTGGACCCAAAATGGCAAACATAACAAATTTAAGATAAACATATGCCAGTATTACAA